GGGTGCGCGTGCAGGTGCGGGTGCGCGTGCGCCGCGGACGACGTCATCGCCGCCGCCTCCCGCTGGGTGGCGCACGTGCTGAGGTGCGCGACGAGGCGCACGCGCAGTGGGTCGGAGGCGTCCAGGCCTTCCACGGAGCTCAGGTACCGGGCCACCTCGGTGAGGCACTCTCGGAAGCCGAGGCTCATGAAGTCCATGGCCAGAGCGTGGGCATCGAAGTAGCCTGCAAGGGGTGCAGAGGGAAGAGGAGAGAGGCAGAGAGAAGGGGAGAGAGAAATGATGCGATTTTGAAGCACAACGACCCGTGAAGTTCCATCCCGCCCTTCAGAAGATTCAACTGCTGAGAATCCTCACTGAGGGTGTTGCCAGCTACCCACGGATTCGATTTCCGCAGACGTTAGGAGAGCACTTTGCACCTCCTCTGTGCAGCGGAGGCAATGCAACATCCTACAGTTATTCTTGCAACAAAGTACACCGTAAGAAAAACTTAAGAACTGTTGCAAACACTTCCAGAAAAAACAGAAGGTGCCTCCCCTTCAGTATTGCGGCGTAAAGCCTTTCCCCAGAACATGTGCATGGAAGGCAGTCAGTGGAGAAGCCTCTGTGTCCCCGTCAGGAGCTGGAAATTATAGGCCCTATCCTTACCGTCTGGGCATTTTAATAAGAGACTTACGGTAGAACTTAGCAGCTTGAGGATACTGTATAGAAACACGCTAGAATCTCAGTAAACTCACAAGTGATTCTTGGATCGCAATGCTTTTTATCGCTAAAGTGAAAACATTATGCCAGTGCTTTGAATGACAGAAATTCAATGAAAAAGAGTTTTCGAAAATTTGATTATTTATTATTTGGAAGATCTTACTCTCCCGTCCGATATTATAAAGGTGCTCTGCTGATAGGAGGTTTCTATAACTCCTAGTTTTACTGTAGTTCAAATATCCATCTCCTTCATTGGCCAGTTTACTTTTTTCTGGCATCCACTCTAGGAAAAAAAGTATATTAACCGTATGCACAGACCCCTCCCCCCATGCCTATGGCTATTACCTGGGTCACCTTTACCAGTATTCTTTTTTACCCCCCAAGTAATATATTAGAATAGAAAATAATGATGTCTATTATTTTAGCGCCAATACAGAGCACACTAACAGCTATTTAGGGAAATGATCCCATTTTTGAATGACAAATATATGTACAAATAGTATGTACCAATATATCCTTTTCAGATTCTTTCTCATTTGCAACTGCTTGGTAAGTAATTTTTTAATTAAAAGTTTAGTCAGCCAACTTTTCAGATGGGTGTGAATGAGAAACGGCACATTGAAATAGAGTTATTTTCATCTAAGGAATTCATTATATTTTCATTATTTTTTTCAGATTTGCATTGTTAGATTTATTGTCTGTTAAAGATTATCTTAATCTGTAATCAAAGCATTTTGGAAAGCAGTAGTCACATATTCAAAGTTCTAAAGCTGGAATTTTAGCACAAATCTGGAAGTCATCAAAAGATGTCTGGGGGTAAACATATCCACCATTAAGACAGAGACGACACAAACTAACAAAAGAGAGTATCATAAAACGGAGAAGAATAGCAGCAAAACTTATTACTATCGCAAGACCTTGGCATAATTAGCAAACAAAACACTTGGAGTTAGGAGGAGAAGCTATTCCTAAAGATGACATCTCTATTATTTCAGTCCTTATGTTCAGTGTCAGGGTTTGCAAGCTTCTGGCTTCCATGGGAGAAGAGAGGCAATGGTCAGAGAGGACAGAGTCCAGAGAGCCAAGGAGATTTAGAAACTTACTCTACTAAATCCTCTGTAGAAATAATTGTTATATATATATATATATATATATATATATATATATATATAACGGTGAAGAAGGAACCAACAGAATGGAAACTTCAGGAACTTCTGCAGATTTTCATTAGTCATCCTGAAGCGAGTGACATTTGTGGTTTGCCAGCTATGTTGCTGAATATGGCTGAGTCTTCTGTTGCATCTTAAGGAATATAAATTATGTAATCCTCATCCTTTTGTTGAATGCAGAGGAAAATGATGATCCACAGCTGTCTGATGACTTGACCGTGGGCCAACAACAGCACACACGTCCACAACCACTTCCTGTATGGCAAGCATGGTTCTACCAGCTTTGAGTGAACGAACTCACAGCGTCCTTGTGAAGTAGACACGAAACTGTCCTCATCTTACACATGATGAATTTGGAGTTTAGGGAAGGTTAGTAATTTACCCTGGATCACAGAGCTAATAAATGGCAGAGCCAGGAGTCAGAATCAGGCAACCCAGCTAGAGAGCCTATGCCTTTCCCCTCTGTACTATGAGGCAGCCGGCATCTGATCATGTGAGCCCAAGCTGCCAGTCCCCCTTTGTCACACCTATACATTCTCCTACACAGTGACCTCTTTAGTGCCCTGCTAGTCAGGTGATTTGGATGGCGCCTGCTTGGAACTGTCTACTTGTAAACTATGCTCAGATAAATTTAAGACTGTTCAGATCACTCAGGATAGGAAGCAAGATGGAACTCAGTTTTTAGTATAAAGCCAAAGAGCGGTGTGACTAGAAGTGCACCTTATGCCAAATATTAAAAACCCCATAACATCCTTGACCTTGTGGTTAGTAGTGCCAAGGGAGGTAGAGCCATCACAAAACTTTTCTTGCACCACCACAAACTCAAATCATCCTTCCGACATCCTGCAGGAGCAGGTGAAAAGACAGATCGAGGCACTAGAGGGGTCTTTGGAGCTCATTCTGCTAGTGCAAGCCTCCAAGAGCAGCAGATAACTTCTGTCTTGGGTCAAAGGCCAGGCAGTGGCCTGGCCTGGACCACTGGCTTCTAAGATTTCATCTAATTTTTTCTCTATTTCATAAGAACATGTGTTTAACCTATGTAATTCTTCATTCATGCAGAATGGTTCTTAGGGTCAGTCAAACCATGTGGACAGTGATCACCTACGTGATACAGGTGAAAGGTAGTTAGGGGCAGAGAGCAGATGTTCTACAGCACTCAGATTTGTAAAAAGTGACTTCCACCCAGTGCCCCACCCTTCCCTGATCTAGGACTTCTCAGCTGACACTCAGTTCAGGAGGCCTCCAGGATTTATTTGCATTACTGTGTACTGAATAACATTTTGGACTGAGATCAAAGGCTTCCTTGGAGGGTGAAAAAGCTACCACAGGGCAAAGTCAAGTCTTAGTGATGGGTGGGAAGTGGGTTAATGAAATCTGAATGGAAATTATAGCTTTTAGTAGCTTGAGCCTATTTTTAGCATGAGAGGAGGATCCCCCTTTAGCCCCCTGAAAGTCCCCCCAGGGTATGAGCTAGTAGGAGGCCATCTCCCCAGGGTGTTGGGGCCACAGCACCTGCTCCTACCTGCCCTCCCCAGGACTGGGTCTGTATTAATGGCTCCTAGGCCAGACATTCACTACTTGCACTTCAAATGCTCCGTTTGATGTAAAGCCAAGACTAACCCAAAACCTGGAAACAACAAAAATAATTTTGGAGTCACTTCCTTTGGACTAGCTAAATTATTTTGCCTCCCAGCCTTGACTTAATGGAAAAAAGAAGGAGAAGAAGAGTTAAGGCTTCCTCTAACCTCCTGTTTATGTTTGGATGTTTGTGTGTTTGTTTTGTCTTTCTGTACAGATTCCAGCATGTGCTTCTTAAACCCCAAACAAATCTCTGACCAGGCTGCCGTGAATGAAGCTTTCCTCCCACAGCATTATGAAAGCAAACACAAGCCCAGGGTCAAGTGCTGCTTTTGTCCAGGAGTTCTTTCCCACGAGTTCAATCCTGCCATGAGCATCGATTCCCTGGCTTTAATTGGGAACTCAGCTTGTTAAAGAACTGCTCAACTATGACTTTCTTACAATATTAGAGGGAAAAGATGAAAAGAGAAAGGTAGAAAGAGGTAAAACATGAAACCTCCTACTTACCCTTACCCCCTGTTGCCTGAAGCATCTTCAAATGATCCACTGTCATTTGCAGTATCTCAGCTTTTTCTAACTTTGCAGACCCCTTCAGAGACAAATAGTAAAGTCTCATGAGTCATTCAGAAATGAACTTGGAACACTGGATGCTGAATTTAGTATAATGGCTTCAAATTTCCCTCCCTCTAGAAAATTCTGTTTAATTTCTTAAAAAAAAAACTTAATTCTTTCCAAACTTTGCATGAAAGCACTAATCAGCACGTCTGATCTATGTCACAGGTATTTGCCATTTCAACTTTTAAAGACCCAAAGAAGGCAGGAAATAAATTATTTTTAAAAAAATTTATGAGAAGAATTATATTTCTACAATCACTCCAACGAAACTACTACAACTATAAAAATCTCAAACTTGGTGCTCAATTGCTACTTCTTTCAACAATATATTTTATAGGAGACATTCAACAGTCCTATACAGTAATCCTGGAGTCAAGATGAATCGTATAGCTGAATACTACCTCTAGGAGAAAAGAGGCTAGGATTTTAGAAAATTATTGCTAAAAGTAGATTATACAAAAGTAATACATTCTACTAAGACCTTAAAGTAATTCATGAAAGACCATCAGTGGGCAGAAACCAAAACAAGTTTTTTTTTTTTTTTTTTTGCTCCTAACAGTTACCAGCAGGTGTCACTGTGAATTTCAAGATCTAAACAAAAATGAATAATAAGAAGCATCAGAAATACTTAAGAATTTTTGAATCCTTAAAAACAGTTCTTAATAAAAATCATCTTGCAAATTATTGTAATGTCCCCTTTTAAAAAATAAGGCAGCTTCTGAAACCAATTGAAATACAAACATGCCACCTCAAATTTTCTCAGGGGCCTGTGGGTGGCTTCTAATTTCCTGGCAGGCCTAAATAATTAAACCAATATGTTTTTTTTTTAAATTCTAAAGTTTATTTCAGCCTCTTTACTTCTTTTGTGAAAATTATCAGCACCCTTTCATGGCGAGAGTGCCAGGGTTATTCAGCGGCTATAAGGAACACTCTCTGAATCACAGGGCGACAGGGCCAGCTCGCCAGGGTTGGCAGCCAAGCTCTGCTAAGGGACAGCCTGTGTTTATAGTAACTCATTGCCAAACAACGGAGGGTTTGCTTAAGGCTTGTTTTAAGTCAACATTTAAAAAAATCTAACAAACCAAGAAAAAAAAAATCACCAGACTGACTGCTTCTCAGCAATCAGTAGATATTTCAGTACTTAAAATTTAAAAACATTATTAGCAACATTTTCACTTGCAGCCTATTGTATCTGGAAGTGCTCCTGATCAAAGTATAATTCCCATTATATTTAGCTTATCAAAAGCAGTCTCAGCAGCATATCAACTTGGTATATTTTTTTTGTCTTAAGATATATACAGCCATGGCACGCTGCATCTCAGAGCTTTGTCAGTGGTCAGCTCTTCCAAGATGATGTACAAGTAGTTTCAGTGAAAGCAACTAATAACTAAGACAGAAGTTTCTGGACAACCTCCAAGGGTTTCAGGGCTTGTTTTATGTTTGCAGATTGAGGAAGTAAACAAAAAAAATGGAATAAACAAACAACTGCTGTCTTGTACCCTATTTGGAATTGAATTGAAAATATCTGCAGCAAGGACATGCTGCCACAGCTTTTGAGAGACGCTCTTAGAAATCTGTGCCATTAGCCACTGTGGCAACTGGAGAAACGAGACTTTTCTAAAACCACAAAGGAAGATTTAAATGTTTGGTTTTCTACTTTTCTAAGTGTGGAAAATCTTTTCTTTTGTAAAGAATTTCTTGGACTCTGACAAGGGGCATTTATGGCTAATTTGGTTTTTTTTTTTTTACCAAAGTTCCAAAATAGGCCCCAAATCATACATCATTCTATTTACCGAGGGATTCAAAATGAAAGCAAACATCTTAGTAAATAAATTGTATTAGCATTATTATTCAGGAAAAAGAACCAGAGATGTTATTTCCTGGGCTTTGTTCTTTCTTTTAATTAAAAAGATTATTTTTTTACCGACTGAGGGAAAATGTTATTTCACATATGATATATACATATTTTTTTGAAGAATACTACATACAGAATAGTTTTAAACAAAACCACTACTGGTATTCATAGAGAGAACAGAGAAAGCATGAACATTGTTACCCTTAAGGGGAAAATAAATAAAGAATGGAAATGTTTTTTCAAGTTCATGATGGATTATGTTTTTAATAGTTTTGCCACAACAAAGCATTTTATTGAAATAGCTGCTCTGCGCCCGATCAGGGCACATACACCATTATTTTAATGAGCTTTAACAAGAGCCCGCATTCCCAGAGGAGAGAATCAGATTCTTTGAGCTTTCTGGGGAAATGGGGTGGGGGGTAGCTTACTTGCTTTTCAAAAGCGGTTGGCACCAGCCGTCTCAACTCAGATAAACTGTTATTTATCCGATCCCGACGCCTTTTCTCTATAATCTATCCCAAGGAAAGCAAAACAAGAAAAGTTTATGAATACAGAGATGACAAAATTACACACAATGGAAAACCGCAACTGTTCCACATTAGGCTGGCTTACACGAAATAGAAATTAAAAAAAAATCACATACCCCTCTTCTTTTCTTTCTTGCCATAATTTGAGATGTTGTTGTTGGAGAATTTGGTCTGGTCACAGAGCTAGCACTTTGCCTGTGAAAGCAACACAGCCTGTCAGGAGCTCCATCCACGTAACAGCTGCTGCTTCTGGGTACTCAAGCCCTGGGAGGGGTGTCAGGGTGTATGTCTGTATTATTTCATTCTTAGTTCTTCAGTCTCAGCAGACTTTGTCCTCAGCCTTCCTGCCTTTTCTCAGGAGTTATGCCTTTAATTTTTTTTTTTTAAATGAGTGATCCAGATGCCAACTGTATTGGCAAAAGTGTTCTTAAACTTTTGTTTGAGTCTTTCAATAAAATAATTAGGGACAGTTAGGGTGGGAAGTCAGATATGTACTAGTCTTTCCTGGCTGCACTCATACATATTTCTTAAGAGTCAACTAATCTCCTTTTCAGAGCATCCTCCTCCTCCCTCGCATCACACACAGAACAAAGAAATATTTTTCAAAATAAGCATCCTAGGAAGCATCAGTATCAACCTGTCACCACGTGTCAGTGTTATCCCTAGATGCAACCCGAAAAATAAGTCATCTTACTATTTCAGAACTTCAACCCGTCATGTTTTATAACAGGAAAAAACGACAAATTTGATGTTTTGTCTATTAATGTTTTAAAAGAACACCCTGAATTACATAGGCCAAGGATAGCGAAATTAAGATAAGGTGTAGGGTTAGGAAAATGCATTACTTTGAAAACAAAACCCTTCACTTTCAAACTAAGCTTAAATTTCTAGAAGCTGCAATTCGCCTTTGACAACTATTTTTATATTGAAAGTCCAGTCCGATTTATTGGGTCGGATAACATAACTTTTACACTCCTTTCTGGTTTGTGTCTCTTTCTCTTCATAGTTCACGATACTAGTCCCCGGATGGCCTCGTACTCTCTGGGTCCGACTATTTGTCCTCTTTCATTTCAGAAATGCGACAGACGCCAGGTTTCTGTTACCTCACGTTCTCACTTCTGGATCTTATTTCTGAATTATCTACCCACTTCACCCTCACCCCTCTCCCGGTTTCACCTTTCACTGGACCTCAGACATCTTCCGTTTCTTAAAGATGACACATTTTAACAATCAGATACTTCATAAACAACGTTTCACGTGCCTTTGCTCTTGCTGTTTTCAGGCTTTGGTTTGGACATATTAGAATATGTATAAGAGAGAAAACCAGTTTTCCAAAGGCAGAGAGAATTTCACTGTTTGAGTGACAGCTGAAAATAAATAATTAAGGTGCTTCTGGGGATGCCAATTAGAAGCAATTATCATCTGACCCGCCTGGGCTCCAAAAGGCCTCGGTCACCTCCCTCTGTCGGGGGAGACTGGAGGCTTCGCTTCTGTGATCCCCCACCGATGATCCTTTTCCAGGCTGGCGACCAAGCGGTCAAAGAAAGGGCGCACGATCGGATTCTCCATCTGCCACCCACTGGCGGGGCAGCCCGCCCCAGCTCAGCCTCTAAGCCCTGACCTCGCACGCTGCTCACTTTTCTCCAAAACCCAAGTCCCGCTTTAGCTTCTCTCAAAATACAAAACCAAATCGCTTCGCTTCCCTGCTGCCCTATTTTGGAAGCGTTCCCTAAAGCACAGACCGGGCGGCGGGGGCGTCACGCGTGACCGCGGGGGCTCGCGCACTGTCCCTTCCGGTGGCCTCCCCCGCGCTCCCCGCCGCAGCCGGGTGAAACCCACGCCGCCTCTCCCACCCAGCCCAGGCTCCCGAGCGCCCCCGCCCCAAGCTTCCCGCGAAACCGTCCTCTTCCCCGCGGATCCCCGCAGATCGGCTGCCGCCGCGTCCCACAAGCGGGGCCCCGCGCTCACCCCGAGTAATTGTTCTCGCTCCCCACGTCGATCGTCTCGTCCATGTCGCTCTCAGAGGTCGTCTCCTCGCAAGGGCGCTTCATCGCGCCGCCCCTTACCTCCTCCTCCACCCAGATCAGCGCGGGGCAGCGCGGCGCCTTCGCCTCCTTGCAGCTCTTTCCCACGCCGCAGCCCCGCGCCGCAGCCTGAGCCGGCGCCGGCCACGCCCCCAACGCGCAGAGCCCCACCTCCTCGTGCGCCGGCGTGGCTCGCTATTGGCTGAACCGGAGGGGCGGGGCCGCGCTGGCCAATCCCCGCCGCCCTGCTCGGGCCCAGGCGTGGGAACGCGGCCGCGCACCTGGGCCCTGGCAGCAGCGCGAGTTGGGCCAGGCGGCGGCCAGCCGGCTCACAGCTTCCAGTTGCAGCCGGAGACCTGGGGGTTGGCTGGGTGGAGAGCTGAGCGCGGCCTCCGCGTCTCGGGCCGCGGCCCTCCGCAGCTCACCGCTGGCTCTCCCGGGAGCCTCAGGGCCGGGTCCAGAGCGCTGGCGAAGCCGCAACTCCGTCCTTTCGGTCCTCGGCCGCGGGGCTGCGATTGGGGACGCCCCACGAGGTCCGCCGGCTGGCGTTGTCTGTTCCGGTGGTGGGAAGGACTAGATCAGGCAAGCACAGGATTCAGGACGAGGTGTCAGGAGGCTTTAAATTCCAGTCGCTTGGTCT